AGAGAACTAAAAGGCAACAGAGAGAAAAAGGGAGAGAATAAGAGAGGGCGAAAGAGATAGAGATAGAGAGAAAGATCCAGAGATATACATAGAAAGACAACTGAATTTGGTTGTGAACTTTAATCAAGAACAGGAATACTTTATTCGTCGTAGATGTCTTCTTCTATGCATTACACATTCAATGACATATTGCAAATACCCTCTGGCAGCGTATAAAACTGATTGTACAAATTTAAATTTGTTGTGTAATGCTTCACTTTTATTCATTACGTGACGTTCTACGTGTAGTATCATATCTGCATACGGGAAGGGGGTGCTGTGTGTGTGTGTGTGTCTGTGGTCGGGCAGCAGTACTTAACCGCAGACGTGGGCGTGTACAGCACATTCATCATCATCAAAACATATTTGCACAACTTATTGTGAGCTTTTGCCTCATGCTATTTGGTTGCTTGTCTCGGGACTGTGACTCTGATTTGGTGGGTGATTGACTGCTGTTTAGCGCGGGGCTGAGGTGGGGGGATTTGCACATGAGGTGCCGATCAAGTGATCGCACGTGAACGCCATCGGAGCTCATGGTTTGCCATTTGACACAATCGCCATAATTGACAAATTCAGCTCAAGAGCTTATTATATTCAAATCAAAGATTACGTTTGAATCTGTGCTCGATTTTTTTTGCCTAATAGACAGAGCCCCAAATGGCCTGAGAGATTTATTTATTATAATATATATCTATATATATTTATAATTTATGTAACAACACGTTTGATTTATAAAAGATTTTTTTAATACATTGATACATTTAATTTTTGAAAATTTAATTTAATTAAAGCCATTGCTTTGCCAGAACGGCAATGAACGGCAAATTGCTTTACAGACAACATAACGTATGAGTTATATATCATCCCTATATATAAAACTGTTTCTCCTGACTGATTGGTGATCAACGCTCAGCCCATAGCGTAAGAGTTAGGAGGCTGAAATTTTCACTGTAGTTACCTTATGTGATTAAGATGCCAAGGCCGGGGTATACCCGCTAGAAATCGAAATTTCCCACTCCCATAAGTTGGTCAAATTTCTTCCGATTTTCACGAGGCTTGGCTCTTTTTTCATGGTTTGGCCTCCTAATCAATGTGGCATCTAAATCTCGCAACATAATTTTTGGTCCAAATTCATGTCTAAATGGAACCCTTAAATATCCTATATAGACATAGATCTAAACTTCCCACCCCCATAACTTGGCCAAATCTCATCAGATTTTCAAGAGGTTTGGCGTTTTCTTCATGATTTGGCCTCTAGATCAATTTGGCATCTAAATCTGACAACATAATTTTTGGTCGAAATTCATGTCTAAATGGTACCCTTAAATATCCTATATAGACATAGGTCGAAATTTCCCACCCCCATAACTTGGTCAAATCTCATCCAATTTTCACGACAATTGGATTTTTTCTTATTATTTGGCCTCCTAATCAATTTGGCATCTAAATCTGGCAACATAATTTTTGGTCCAAATTCATGTCCAAAGGGTACCCTTAAATATGCTATATAGACATAGGTTCAAATTTCCCACACCCATAACTCGATCAAATCTCATCCAATTTTCACGGGGTTTGGCGTTTTCTTCATGATTTGGCCTCCTAATCAATTTGGCATCTAAATCTGGCAACATAATTTTTGGTCCAAATTCATGTCAAAATGGTGCCCTTAAATATCCTATAAAGACATAGACTAAACTTCCCACCCCAATAACTTGGCCAAATCTCATCCAATTTTCACGAGGCTTGGCTCTTTTTTCATGGTTTGGCGTCTAGATCAATTTGGCATCTAAATCTGGCAACATAATTTTTGGTCCAAATTCATGTGAAAATAGTACCCTTAAATATCCCATACAGACATAGGCCAATATTTCCCACCCCCCTAACTCGGTCAAATCTCATCCGATTTTCACGAGGTTTGGATTTTTGTTCATGGTTTGGCCTCTAAAGCAATGTTTTATCTAAATCTGCAACAATTGTCTTGGTCGAAATTCATGTGAAAATGGTTCCCTAAAGTATCTTATAAATACATTTTTACATTTATATTTATTGATATTTATAAATAAATAGGAAATTTAAATGTACTACAGAGCGTATGCGTTATATATTTCCTATGATCTTTTGACGCGTTAAAATAACACGTGTGGGTAATTTTTGATTAAATCTAAGATCTTTTAAAGACCCAATCAAAACAAAAAAGTAGCTCAGATCTGATTCAATAACATTCAAATCGCTAAGCACGGACAGGCCAGAGTCGTTGATGCTTGAACCTATTTGTTTGTCTCTCAGTGTGTGCGGGCGTGTGTGTGTGTGTGTGTGTCTGCGTGTGTTTAGTGTGTGGGGGGCTTTTATTGCATTTTCGGTCGAGCAAACAAATAAACAAAATTGTTTTGCAAAAATTTCAAAGTTTATGCGTTTTCTGTGAAACGTGTGGCATTAAAATCGCAAAACACAAAGATTTCTGCTAGATTTGTGGCTGCATTTTGTGCTATTTGTGAACCCAGCGAAAGTTATTTTTGGCTAAACTGTAATGCAATAGCTGAACTTGTTTGGTTTTTTTCTTTGGAGATCAATGCTGAATAGAGCAGAAATCTATTTTCTATTTTTGTGGCAGAATTTCTCGCATTTTTGGCAAAAATACAGGAAATTCGATAGTCAGAAGTCAAAGATGATAAGGCAAAAATATTTCTTAGCATAGTAAACTATAATATAAAATGTTGTTTAAACAGAATTAGGCTTCGAATTAAATGCATTTAATTAAGCTCTTAGTAGACTGTATTTAACAACAACTATTTCATGGAACTCGCTTTTAAAGTCTACACGGAATACGATAGGGATAAGTGCAGATGCCGGATGAAATGGCAAAAGTGCTTGGCATAATATATTTATAAAAGCTGCTGGTTAAACAGAATTTAATTAAGTTTCTAAATCTGAAAAGATTTCATGGAATTCCGTTTGCGTAATATTTCATTTACACATTACGTAGCTGTACAGAGAGTTTTACCCGCATAAAAATGCTCTCATTTCTCGAGACTTGGACTTTATCATCAGATTTGAAAATCGTTTAACAGACGCGAGCCCCTTATGCTTGGCCCGGCTAGGCATATTATTCATGCGTATATCACGCATACGCCTCGTGTGGTATTTCAAGGCAATACGCATTATCACTCATACGTCATGTTGTACGCACAGCAAATCAAACAAGCGATCGACAAAGCCACCCCCCGCCCCCCTGCCCCCTCTGCTCCCCCGCTTGCCCTGCTCTGTGTACCCGTATTAGATTTCACATGACGTCGATCAATAGAAAGTGCCGACGCGTCAGAAAAAAAAACCACTTGTGCATGCGAGTCGGCCAGTCACAGTACCCCGACCCGCAACGGCATCCCCACACACACACACACACACACACAAGTGCAGACACACGCGCACAGAGTTTATCTGCCGTGAATGTAAACGGGCAGCTTGTTGGCCAACAAATGGATGCACACACGCCAAAAAATTGCACGCCCACATCGATAGCTGTCCAAACGTGGGGCGTCTGCTCCATTTCTGACCGCACGCGCAGCCTTTGATCGCCATATGCAAGACGTCAACGTGCCCCTGAGCAATTTGAGCGCTGATCCCCCAACCGAGTCAGCGGGTTGGGGCACACACACACACGCACACTCACACACACGCACACACACTTGCATAGTTTGTCTGCCGCCTGATCGCATTTTCGCTCCAATTTTAGCATTTGGTTTGTCCTCCTTATTTCGACATTGCATGGCTCACTTTCACTCACAATAACAGCCTCTCGCTCGCACCGTTTCTCTGTTTCGCCATTGTGTGAAATCTTGTTTATGCGAATTCCATGTTATTCTCGTAATCGCGGAGGCCGTCGCCCCGTCGGTATTTTGGCATATCATATTCTCTATAGGGGGGGTGTTCGGGGCCCAACTGTAGCGCGTGTGCAGGTTGCCGATTTATTTGCTGACTTGTAGACATTTCTCTGTCTGGACTTGGACAGGGGAATGCTTCTACAGCGTCTCGACAAGTCGCAACACTTTCTGTGATTATATATATACCCTTCTCGAGTATATTGTAACTTTGTCACCAAATGTGCAACGCTTAGAGGCAGATGTCTCTGAAATCCTTAAATATATATATACACTTGATCTGTATAAACAGTCGCTCTAGCGGAAGTATTCATTGCAAAAAGTTTGTTTATGGTCAAAATATCTTGATCAAGCAGTAAGGACCAGCTTCACAATTCTCCTGACATATCTACAAATTGGGAGGGTCTACTTATTATATGACTTCTTTAGGAACAATCGGTCACTAGCATATGTAAGGGTATTTCATGTTCGTCTTGCCGTAGATAGCCATTGCTTTGCTTGTTTCTGCAAATTGTGCATTCTTTTTTTGTTGTGCAATCATTATTTGGCCTGCAGTTCAAATTTTGTTGTTTTATTTGGGCATTAAATTGCATAATTGAAATTGTTTTCCACATTCGAAGTGCATTACATGACACTGCTTGTTAATTAATTATTGAGCTGTGAATAATATTTATTGTACGGGAAACATAGGGAACTTGTTGTTGTTACTTTACTTTTTGCACCATGACGCGCAGCTTTTTGACCAGAATTTAGTTTTAAGTTATATGTATTATATATACGTATATATATGTTGATCGCTAAAGTTTCATTTTCTGCCAGATTGTGCATTTTTTTTGTAGCTGTGTATATATATACATATGCATTCATGTTCTCCTGCACCAAACGCAGACAAAGTTTCTTTACCGCCGGGCTGCATATTAAATAAAACTTATTTTTGAATTTTGCCTCCCTATGCGATTCTCATAAATACAAAATAGTCCCTCCTACCTTGATTATGAGTATATTACAAGATTATTACTACTGTTTTTACTAATTCTTTTTTCTGCTCTTACTTTAATCCACACTCTACTTCTTCTTTTCTTTCAGTGTGATTTCGCCCATCGAAGAACAAACTCACATGAATTAAAGGGTAAGTGAATATTTATATATATTAATGAGAATATGTGTCAATGCAGTTTTGATCTGTGCAAAAATTATCTCCTATCTTTATTATACCCTTGAAAACTGGTTAAAAAGGGTATACTTTTTTGTTTTTGGCTATGCACTAGTATTAAATATTGTCGCTGATTAAATCAGATTTTCTTCTCGCTCGTTTCACGCTGCGTATGCGTAATATGGATGGGACCACATTTCCTGGCGCTGCCTCTTGCAATTTTCTGTGGTTTGTTGCTGTTGTTGCTTTCCTGTGATGTTTTATGGCATTCCCTTTTGCTGGCATCATTTACCTCGTGCCTCTCACACCATGTTTAGCATTCGTGTTTTATTTATCCTGCTTTTCTGCACAATTTATGACAGTCGTTTGAGCTTGACGCATTGTTGTTGCCGTTGCTTCTGCTTCTTTTTGTTGTTGTGGCGTGTAAACAAACGCGTTAATAGTTTGCCATTTGTTTGAAACGCACTCGCTGTTTTGTTGTTGTGTTTTTTTTTTGCTCTCTGTTTTATTGTTATTGTTATCTTTGCAACTCTTTTGCATGCCTTTCCTTTTGACGTTCATTTATTGTTTAATTCGGTGCCGCTGTGTTGTTGTTGTTGTCTCTGCTCGTTCCGTCAGCCACGTGCCGCAAATAAAAATTCTATTGACCCCAGGCAAATATTGACAAAATTTGCACGATCCGCGCTCGCAGCCGGCGTCGAGGCTGACAGAGGCTGCCTTTGGGCCTTTTCAATTTGGCCTCTCTAAGGCCTGTACACTTGAAAGCCGAGTTTGCTTCTTGATACCCTGTACCTGTATTGGGTATGGGCTAGATTTGTTGATCTTGAAAGATCGAAATTTGCTATACATATACATATACGTATTTCGTATGCACATTTGTTTTGACTTCTCTAATTTTCATAATATCGATAAAAATCGATTTATAGACACGATAAGCTTTTACCAACCTTTTATTCCCGACACGTCTTCCTTTAAATTTAAAATTCATCATTTGGAATACAAGAATACATTTGAGTATCACATTTAAGCCCAGAAAGCTTCGTAGAGATCGGACTCTAAGCACCGAAACGATTCAAGAACGCTATTCCCAAAGTCTAGGGTATCTGTTAGTCAGTTACGCCCGACCAGGGCACTCTTACTTGTTTCTATTTGTCTTCAATACTTGCCAAATCTCTTTCAACATTGACTTTGGCCCCCAATTGACAAATGACGTCAGTCTGCCGTAGCAGGCAGTAAGACGAAGTGCCGATAGGAGTTTGTTGGGCTGATAACTCAGGTATTTTATCAGCGACAAAGTACAGCAAAATGTATTTTTTCTAAAAATAGCTGAAATAGCGTACAGGCAGATAACTGATAACCAGATGTTTGGCATTCGAAATATCGGCTTCTGTTCGCAACGCAATCGCAAAAAGAAAAGCCGCCAAATTTGAATGTCAGACGGAAGACACGTGCCGCATCGATTAGATACGATTGGTCCATATCAGACAAAAGCGCTTTAAACACTATCTATGGCATTTTGGAATCCCTGATAGGGACTTCCGCTTGGGCCTGTCTACGTGTTGGTTGCAAATAAAAATGGGCCAGAATTGGACCAAAAATTAATGTTATTTATTTTATAACAACTTATTATTTTGATAAAAAGAATATTACAAAAAAAAAAACTAGGAAAAGTAATATATAGAATAGTATAATATAGTATAAAGGGCAGATAGTTAAGTTTGTATAGATAAACACATATATTGGTTTAAAAATTTCATAAATAATAATAAAAAATATATTTGAATTAATTTAAAACAGTTTTGTCTTTATATAAAGGCAAGTTTTTTTTTATTTTTACAATATTCAATCTTACCCCAAAAAGAAATTAGCTGATACAAAAAAACAGCTTTCCGATTGCCATATAAACATCCTTCGTACTTGTTCTTATCTTCTACAATTTTTTTAAATATTTACTGGATAAATACTCTAATGATTTTAATATTTTTCTTAACTATAAATATAAAGGCTAACGTTTTGTGTTCCGGTTTCTTTTTTTATTGTTCTCGTTTATTAATATTTATGTTTTCATCCGTGAGATCCTAAGTATAGGAAACTTTCCGGCCTGAACTGTAATATCCTGTGTTGATTTTTACCTAATTTACCCAAATTTTGGGCCATTTGAGAAAATAGTCGTAAAAACATTGTCACATACATATCTTAATGAACTTGAAGTCTAATCAAATCATCTCCTTGTTGTCTTTTACAGTTATTTAGCGCACATGTCTCGTATATGTGTTTATGTGTGTGTGTATGTGTGTGTGTGTGAGTGCCTTGGTTATACGCATAGATTATTACGTCAGTGCAGAATTTTTGAGGAAATTTAATAATCATAAAAACAAAAGCGCAGGCACGCAAAGACCCGGAATGAATGACATAAAGAAGGAAAGAAAGAGGCATAGAAAGCAGAAAAAAAAAAGAAAAACAGAGAGAAGCAATGAAAGAAAGAGTCAACGCGGCATGACAAATGTGCGATAGCGTTAAATAATTTTTATGATGCGTTCGCAATAAAAGTGGGCGATGGGGCGAAGTCTCACACGAACACGGACACACACACACACACACAGATGCACACACATCTTCAACAATATAACTGACACGCGTACACAGAGAAAAAATAATAATATAGAGCACAATGCAGGAAATCAGAGCAAAGCTGACAAAAGCTTAAGGCTATGCTATTTATGATTGAATTGTATATTTATTTATTTTTATATCCTTGTAGAGGGTATTATAATTTCGTCATGGAATGTATAACTAATAGAATGCGACATCGCCGACCCCATAAAGTATATATAATTTAGTTTAGGATGAACAGCCGCGTTAATATAGACATGCACATCTGCCCCTCTCTCTGTTGCTATCAGAATTACTCTCTTAGTTTTAAAGCTATCGTCTTGATACTTCGCATAGGTCCGTCTATCTGTTCCTGGCTGTACATATGTGAGAACCATTCGGGTCGGACGACTATATCATATAGAGCCAATCCATAGGATCGATTGGGTCTGTGTATCAAGATATTTTCATCAAACTCAGCATTTAGGAGCTAAGGGTTTATAAGCGTATTAAATCTTGGGCATGCTGAAGGTAACCCTTCTTTCCGGTTTTATTTCTGATTTTATTATTTAACAAAATTATGCTACAATTTTAACTTTAAAAATACTAAGCGAACTTCGTACTTTATGTAGGTAATGTAAGTCGTCATTTAAAGATGCTTATAAATCATTGATATTTCTGCTTCAAGTACATCAAATTTTGTTCTATGATGATAAATTTTTACTTCAGATATTTAGAATATTTATTCACTAATCACTTATCAATCAGACCAATCTTGACTTAAGGTATTTAAATTGTTATTTACTTGAAAGAAGAGCTTGACTGCTTAAAATAAGTTCTTAGCAGTTAAGCTATGATAAATTCGCTCAGTGCATAAAAGATCTTTTGCCACACACTTGTCTCCATCTCCGCCTCCATCTCCGCCTCTGCCTCCATCTCCGTCTCCATTTGCGTTTCGCTCGTTCACTAATCAGCGGCACGTGTTTTTTCTGCAACATTGTGACAATTTCCTCTTTCGCCTTTTCGCACTCCGTTCGTATCTTGCTCTGCTTGCCATAGTTTGTTTTGTTGTTGCTTTCTTACGTGTGCTCGTCAGTTTGTCGTGTTTTCTTTATTTGAGCATTTCACAACACTCGCTTTGGTTTCTGTTGTTGTTGCGGTTGTTGTTGCTGTTGTTGTTGCTGCTGTTTTCGGCCTGCTTTGCTTTTGTGTTAAGTGCTTAATTTGTTTATCTAGCGCTGAGAATGCAACCGTTGCGGAAATACGTGCAGCCCGTGTATGCCATCAACGACACCCCCCTCACCACCCCACCACCCCACCGCCCACACCCACACCCCCTCGAACACTTCGCTGTTTGTTTATCGTTTTTTAATGCTGCGCATATTTTGCCATTTAAGTTGTGTAAATCCCCCACAAACTATATACAACAAAATATGACAAATTGCCAGCAAGATTTTGTTTGGTCTTAGCGTGGTCTTAGCTACGGCCTAGCCTGGGCATAGAGTACTTCTATGCAAATAGCTGGCGAGTATTATAAATTAAGGTCGCCCCCATTTGCTGATCAAATATGTCAACTAGTTTGATGTTGCTTCCGGCAGTGATAAGGGGCGTCATTATTGCTGAATTTTATTGTTTTTTGGCTGACATTGCGTATACGCTCCGTTTGACATAAGGCATGATATTGTGCGGTGAGAGAAAGCGGAAATGTTTATTTATATTATACTCGTGCCGATATCAGATATGAGAGAATACTATATTGCTCTATCAATATGTGTGTGACACATTTGTAGTCAAGTAAATATTGGCGAAATGTCATAAATTCCAACCAGTTAAAAGTAAATATTTGCAAAGACTTTCAGAAATTATAGGATATGGTATTACCAGGATGGAGATTATTATTAGCAGCAATTTCTAAGCAATAAATTACACTTAAATGCGCATTGAAATTATTGTCATTTTATTGGCTTACCTTAATGCGCAATTATTTATTGCGCAGCCCATCAAAATTGTCAGCTTTAATAGCCAAGTTAATTGTTTTAATCTAATTTTGACATTTATTTAACTATGATTTAAGCACCAGCAATGCCCAGTTTTTTTTTTAATACTCTTTTTCAGCTATAATCTGAGCAGCAATAATAAAAAGTGTAGATTGTATAAAAAGCATTGAAATTATTGACACGCGCGTGAAATTGAAACTTGCCATGAAAATGAGCCATAACAATTGCATAGTTTATTTACTTATTTATTTATGTGTGTGCCTTGCGCTGCCATGGACAATCCGACAATCCGTAATCGCTGCCAATCATCCTCCAATTGTCCACTCAATTTACTGGACTACTTCCTACAATTACATACATATATATGTATATATATATGTTGGTGTA